GTGTCGTAAGATGCCCTTGTGGAGCTCGGGAACTGTTGTTACTGATTATTAGATGTTCCCTAATAATCAGACCACATTTAGTTCGTGGCTGCAGCAAGTTCAAGATAACCCACATCTGCATCCGAAGCATGACTCAGTGAAGTAGCTGTATGTTAGTGCGGGTAGCTACATATACTAGTGCGACTTGAAGAAATGTGGCCATTTCTTCAAGTTGTCATCCCTCCCCGCAAAAAAAAAGTTCTATCAGCGACAAGCTGCTGTGATCAGCGATACGAATGGTAAATAACAACCTATTGAGCCTGGTAGGAGGCACAGGAGGGACCGCCTGAAGCCAGTCAATGGGGTTGATAACTACTAACAATGGCCATTCTACAGGATAACATCCGAAGCGGGTGGGTAAAAACGTTGACTTCCTGAAGGTGGAGTTTCTGAAAGAACTGAAGCTTCTTTAAGAGACAGAGGCCCAATTTCAATGCATTAAATTACCAAGTAAAATTTCTTTTAGGTCATATATTTAAAAGCTTTTTAAAACAACTGAAGGTAACATAGTTACAAACTATGTGAATGGAAAATACACAATATTGCCCCTCTAAAGGAGCAATGCCTATCACTACTATGTTACTATGAAAGCACAGTGGACGTGTGAAGAGCCTAAAGCAGTGAGAGTGTTGAGCAGCTGACGGCGGGCATGCCGTCTCTCCTGCCCTCAGGCAGACCATACTGTAGCCTGAGGTGCAGGTCGCAGAGGTTCTGTGAAGGTTTCTTTCCAACCGCCATCACTGTTGAACAGAAATGGTTGACATTCTAGTTATCATTCTCTACAAGCCTGTCAAACATTTTCAGTGAAATCAACATTTCTCTCATGCGAAAATTTAATTTTTTTAAACTTTTTAAATATGCACTAGATTTTCTTTTTCTTCATGTATTGTACTTGCCTTTATAAACAGTAAGTGGTTCTTGTATGCTTTTGCGTGTCTTTGATGGTGCTGAATAAAGTAAAACTGGCATCTTGAATCTAACTGAGCCATTACCCCTGCTAATTTACCAGCTAATATAAGCGTGCAGTCTTACTCTGTTTAAAGAGCAGAACAACAAGAAACAATGCACTTTGCAATTAGCATTTTAAGGGAAAGAAAATCTATATTCACCAGGTATTTATGCCACATTTTGCTTAGCTTTTCCACCGCTGTGTAAAAGCAAGCTCATGTTATAATTTAAATTTCTTTTGCTACTGGCGACTGGAGCAGTAATAGTTTTTACCTAAAGAAAGCCAGTAAATCACTGTCAT